TGTAAAGTGAATTAAAATTTAAAGGATTATAGTCAGGTAGGCCACAGACATTCGTAGAGGAATGTCCATTAAGAAGAAAAGAACCTGCTGTCCCCAGTGACAGGAATATGTCGTGTTAGTGGCTAGGCATACCTATGTGCTTAGTGGCACTGTTAATGAAAAACTGTGGTTGAACTCTAAAGGTACTTGTGTGATATTTACTTCAAGAGAAGAAAGCAAAATCTTCATGCAAACATCTAGGCATGTGAACATAGGTATATAACATTACAGCACTAGCAAGAAACAGTGGATGATAAAAAGGAGCGGTTACTGATGTAAAATACAACCCAAGCACTGCTCTTTCACCAGTAGCTTGCAGGATCCACTGCAAACTCTGCTGCTTAATAAGAAGTTCCTGTTGCATTTTAAGGAGCTCATAAGACAGAGAGGGACAAAGAGTTTGTCAAAGTACACGTTATTTTTTGTTATGAAGGAGATGGAGTGCTTTTTGGTTTTGTAAATTATTTACACTCAGCTATGACATACATATGTGTTGCATTTCCTGAATTTTTATCCTTAAGAAGAATGAAATAATTTGCTCAGTTAATTTATTGAACTGAATTCTGGCCTCAGTAGTCAATATTTTACAACACAATCAGCAAATGATTGACAGGAGTTCTTGAAAGATTTGTTTTCTTCCCATCATCTTGGTTTCTTCATGGAACAGCCATTGTTCAAGTTATTACACAGTGGGGAGCTGGTCAGGAAATAGTTTCTCATTACTCAAAGTGTTTGTGACCAAACAATGAAATATTCTTAAAGATGTGTGCTTTTAATTTACAAATGCATTTCTATGAAAAACAAGATTTTCAGTTACAGCTTTTAAAAGTAATTGAAAAAATATTCAACCATCTTAAATTGAATGTCATTGTATGACACCTATCTGTGCACTTTTCTAGCCATATTACTATGATATTTCTCTCCAGGCATTAGCTTGTTTACCTGAAAAACCACTTACATTCTAGATTCAGTTGAAATAATCAGCCCTGATGTTTATTCACCCTGCACCAGCCCCCTGAATACAGCACACCCAAGAACTTGAGAATTATTTGTCTTGAGAAAAAGATATCACGCAATTCACTGCTGTTTAAAAAGACATGGCAAATTTGCATAGCATTTATTTACAGAATTTTATTTATATCCTGTTGCTTCTATCCAGCAGCTACCTATTGTAATGTGTTCCTGGCCCTGTACTTTCCTTTCTCTGCTGTGAATCATTGAATCTTTCACACGCTTGTCTTGCACACACATGCCAATGTGAAATTTGCACAACCATTTGTGTCACCTCTGCCTGTGGCCCTGTGTAACTTAGCATATTCTAATACTATAAAGCCTTAAATCCAAAGGAATGTGAGAGAAGATATATCTGCTTATTAGAATATTAGCATTTCTAACATGACATTTTATACAATATTTTGAACAACATGATGCTTATTCCTTTGTTTAAACAGTATCTCTGAGTTTTAATATCTTCTTTCCAATTTGGACTGATTAGCTAAGTGTTTAAGTGGTATCCTTTTATTATCCATCTACTTTCTGCCATACTAGTATCTTTGATAAGATAGGAGACTAGTGTGGGATGCTTTTTCAAAGTGCATTATAGCTGTGCACTGTTAGTTACCTTTTTATATGTTTAATTTCCCACCTTATATTTTTTAAAGTTTTAGAATATACTTTAGAAAATAAAAGTAGTATTAATAATTAAAAAAGATGGCATTTTTAGAGTAAATTTTAAGGTGATTGCTCTTCTCTGTCTTACTGTTTACCCTTTACTTAAGCATTCAAACACAGGAGGAAAACTAAACTTTGAGGGTTTGGGTTTGAGGATCTCACAGCTAGGCTTAGCAGGTTGAAAGTCTAGTTTAACATTACACTTGTAGCTGTTAGTGCTTGTGCTCATAAACTTCCTGCAGTTAAGAAGGAAACAAAACATTTAAAATGGACCAGGACATTTTCAAAGTTGGTTTATCAACTGTATTGCACTAATTCTGAATAGAAACAAAGCAGGAATCTAGTGACTACTGCAGCAATCACATTCCTGGAGGAGGGAAATGATCCAGGCACTTGGAGGTGGTGTGGTCCACAAGGAGGTTGGGCTCAGGTGAGATCTGGCTAGTCCCACCATCAGTCTGATAGTTTATGTATGAAGTTTGTTGCTAAAACCCCATTTTTTTCCTGTAAAATACATCCAAGTGGCATTCGCGAGTTTGTAAAGCTGGAAGGTGGAGCTTACAGCCCAGTTGCTGGTTTCCTGTATTAGTTTTATATCACCCTCTCCTAAAGGGAATCTGGTCCTGTTTCTACAGGGAAAAAGTAAGCTTAATTTGGACTGCCTTTGTGGTTTTAGCAATTGCATTTTAAGTGCTTTTGCAGGAATTTTGTGGAAAAACCTGAAAAAAAAAGAAAACAAGTTCTGGTGGGCAAAGGCAAATGGAAATGCATAGCTAAATAACGCACCTTTTTCAAGGCAGGTGATTCAGAGTGGTAACTGAACACTCTATGTTAGGAGTAAATGAGTGTTGGGAAAACAAAGTGAACCAAAGCCGCTTTCTTTCTGAAGAAGAGTTCCAAAACACTGTACTTTTTTGACTGTTTTCAGTTGCTTTGTGGAATGATAACCATAAAACAGTGCTGCAGAGATTTGAGTGTAACATGCCATGTAAAAATAGAGTATATGAGAAATATGCCTTTAATCTGAGGCACAAAAATAAAATGGAACTATGGGTGTTCTGAACTGTGCTAATTGCATTTTGCAATTATGGGGATCTGACTCATAAAAGTACCAGACTGACACTGTGCAAAATCATACAGAAAAGAAAACAGAACATTTGGAATTAACTTTTTGAAAGGTTAAACTTTCCTAAGAAAGGGAAATCACACATATCCTGGGGCAGGGGGGGGAGGGCAGAATGCAGACTACTCTTAGAGAAGAGATCTCAAAACTCAGTTCAAAGGTGGAGCCAAGACAGACAAAGATATGGAGCTTGTACTTACTATGACAGCTGGTCAAACATCAGTACTCCTTGGTGTATGAAGAGGATGCCGGAAATGTGACGGATGGCATAGTAAGGGTACTGGCATACTATATGGAGACACTGAGAAAAGTCAGCATTATTAGTTCATAGTATGTTGTGGGAGCCTTTTTAGAAAAGTGACCAATTCTGTCAGTTTGAGGGAAGAACACTTTATTAAGCTTAGCTTGAGTAAACTGTGTTAGAAGAGGTATTAGTATTATAAATGCTTTTAAACAACATTTTTTAGAAAGCCATTGATAGTAAAATCCAGGACTTGCGTAAAACACAGGGTTGATGTTATTGAAATTATCTCAGTTAAACAAAGTTTTGAATAGGTTAAATCACTTTTAAAGGAATATTGTCTGCCATGAAATACCAGGATTCATCCAATACATACGCTGTGAAAGACCAGGAGCATGAAAATCTCAACAAAGACATAGAAGATGTCCTTCTGCAGAGGTCCTCTGGACTGAGCATTAAAAGAATCTGGAAAAGCTCAGCCTCCCCAAAATATATACTCTTAAAAAGATTATTCTGTAAGGTAGAAACTAAAAGGTAGATCATGACAGGTTCATTTCTCCAGGGAATAGTAGGGGAAACACAATAGGCAGATAGATCACTTACTGCAGGAAAATACCCAGCAGATCTGGGGACCTAACAGGTTATGTATAAAGGAGACAATCTGCCATTACTTAAAAAGGAAAAAAACATGGGAGATGACTGATAACCAAACGTTTTTCTGCTACTGGATACCCCAACAGTGATCTCACAGGTCACTATGTACGTGTACACATTTAGTGGGCTCTTTAAGAAAAAGTTAGAAAAAGGAAAAAAAAGGTCATTTGGGTTGTGACTCAGCACTTAAAGTAGACGGCAAAGGAAAATACACTAATTTTTTAACTCCTGTAGGTATTATAATGTTTCATGTTTATAAAAGGCATTTTGATACCACTGATATATTTTGAAAAAATTCTTCATTACAAAGAACCATGTTAGGTTCTTTAGCTCTGTTGGGCTAAAGGAGGAAAATGAAAATAACTCAGGAGATAGTCTAGGGTAGAAGCGGCTAAAGGAAAGGTCTGCACAAGGGAGCATTGAGTGAGACCTCTGTCTGTGTGCTCCCCAGCTAATGAGGAGAAGAGAGTTTCTTCCTGGTGGGGAAATTTTCTGTTCTCCTTTCTTGCCTCAACTAGCAGCAGGAGCATTCCCAGAGAAGGTGTCCAGAGAAAATTCTGTAGCAGCTCAGCTTTACTGCATCACTGTCAGTCACTGCATTTGTTAGGGAAACTGTACCCGTCTGTGCTATCAGACACATATTTAACGTATAGATCACCTGGACCTCTCTGGAATTAATGAAGAGGCTGAGGTCCTGAAGATTCAGCTGTGGGTCATTTTTGTAGCCCCACCTCAAATTCATTGCCATGTCCTTGCCTCTGTTTTGCAGCATGGCCCCCAGAGCTGGATGTGTATAGCACAAAAGTAACAACACAGTGTTACTCAGGGAGATGGGTCACTTCAACAGTTGTACTTTGTACACAACTTTTTATATAACTAGGAATCAGGCTAGCACTGCATAGGAAAACTTTTGGCCTTATTTATTTGTTCTAAAAGGGATTATTCTTGCTTTTAAGTAGGTCACTGCTAGTGGAAAACAATAAAAAACTAGGAGAATATGAAAATACTTTGTTACAGCTACGGTAATTAAAACCCTCTCAAGCTCTATAGACACCTGAAGGACATTTACTGTTTGCAGACCTGACTGCTAATGGAATTGAAAAAGCGGTTAATATACTCTGGAGCTCAAAATTAAGTACATCAGACGGGCTGGCTCAGGCTGGGGCTAGATCTAGGGTGATGCTGCTCACCTGAGGGAGTGATGGTGTATGAGTAGCAGCTGGGTGCTGGGGTGACTGGTGGGCAGTTAGCTTTCACCTGCAGTGAAGCCAGACTGGGCACTGTGGAAGGAGGGAGTGTTGTATGCGTGGCTCTTGGATGGCTGAAAAAGCTCTCCTGTGTGTCAGCACATCCCCTCTAACACCTGAGTGTAAAGGGTCCTGGAGAGTTATTGCCACCATTTCATTGTCTGTTACTTGCAGCTTCATGGTTTGTCAGGGTAAGCTCAATGCAGCTTTCTTTTTTCTGATGGTTTTGGTGCATCATGTGGATTTCAGTGTGGTGGTTGGTCTTATTCTGGAGCATTTGGATTAAACTTTTACAGTGTTAATAATACAGAGAGGTGTGAAGCTGTGGTATGGCCTTGAGACAGAGCTTTGGAAAACTTGCCTAGGTATCTTCTTTAGTGTGTGGTCTCTGGGGACCAAAAGGCTTTAAATTTGGCAAAGTCAGGTTTTATTGTAATGATACCGGAGATATTCTTAAATAGAGAACTTACAGTAGCCATGGATGGCAGAAATGATTGCTTTCTGTGTACTTGTCAGCTGTTTCTTCCTTCTGAGCTTGGTTTTGGCTGAGTAAACGGCTCTCAGGAGTTGTTCTGTGCAGTGCTGAAAAGGCTTTTAGGAAGTTTTCTTGCTGTCACTAGTTTAGTCCCTGGCTCCTCCTGTGTGCCCCTTGTCCTTCTCTGTAACATCACCACTAATCTCTGAACTTCTCAGCTCAGTTGTCTGGCTGCTCCCAAGTGCTTTCTTGAGGTTTCTCTATGATACGTTGCTTTAAAGGTTAATTTAATGTGCTCATTGTGAGCTTGAGTTTCTCAGTTAAAAAACTGAAATATTAAAGACATTTTGGCTGAATCCAATGTGAACAGAGACACAGTGGTTATTCCTGCAACTCTTAATGGAAAATGTATGGCCAAAAGTATAAGCGACATGCAGAGAGCTTTGGGTATGAAGCTGAAGATCCAGGAAAAGGGGTCTCTAGAAAAATCAGGCTTGAGTTTCTTGCCCTGAAAAAAAGGAGAGAAAATCAAACCTGCCCTTCTAGACTGCTCTTCTAATTTTCCTGCAGTAGACTGCTTCAGTGTAGATGAGTATGGTAATGTACATCTAATCTGGTTTTGCTAAATGGGATGCAAGTGATATGTAATGATGAATCAAATATCAGCATGAATTTGCAGTTTCTAGTGGCTTTGGAGTTTGTTTCAATGCATTAATGTTAGTTACTACTAATTGTTTAATGGAAAAAGGCATTAAATCCAATTGTAACTGGAAAAAGTTGCAAAATCCTAATTTCTCCTTAGTTTAGCCCAGGTGCTGTAGCAATGAGAGATATGTTCTGTCTACATATCATTTTGTCAGCTGTAAATAGAACAAGAGCTCTGCTGTTACAGAGGTGGGGAAGCTGCAGCACCATAGGAATGTACAGCTTGACAAGAGGAGAGACAACTCTTGGGTCAGGGGTTTACTGTTTTCTTGAATGTGATGCAGTGCCTGCTTCAGATGGAAGCTAATGGTGTTTTACTACTACCAGAGTGAAGGGGCTATTTCAGAAGGGATCAGCTGGTCTAAGTGCTAGTTACAACCAGAGGAAAAACCTGTAGTATGTTAAACTGCATGCATTACACTAACTATTTCTGTTGTTGAATTTTGGCTGGGGCAGAGGGCATGGGACTGTGATGCTAGAAATTGTAAAGGTTTTGGCAGTCTAAACTTCTTGTAATAAGGTAGGCTAGCATGTGAGCTTGCAAAATTTTAGCTTTTTCTATGGTAGTTCCCTGAAAGTGGGGTCAGCTGGTATGGACTATTGCAAGAGATGCACCTGGGCTGCTACTACATGATAAATAGTTTACATGTGGTATATTTGTCTCTAGTTGACCTACTTTGTATGGTACTCTGCTGGGGTGGTTGAACCCTGTGTCTTTTGCCTTTGCTACAAGGGTGCTGAAGGCCTGCGGTAGAGTTGTTTTGCTGCACAGAGGCATATGCCTGCGGAGGGAAAGAGCTGCTATTCCCAGCTGGGAGAATTGCTATGCTGTACTGAATTCAACAGAAAACTTATGATTTGCAGCAGCTGTGGACATGGAAATAATTAAAACATATATTTTCCATAACTGCTTGAGTTCTTTTCTAGATACATGACAATCAGTGGAGCTCACTGAGGCTCTTGCTGCTGTTTGTCTGTGCTGTAGTCTGACTGACCTAAGCTATTTATCAGTAGCAACAAATTGTTAGTCATTCTCATAAGTATCCTGAACAAAATGTGCCAGCTAAACTGCACTCAGCAAGAGTGGGGGAAGGAAAAAAAAACCCAACAAAAAAAGCAAACAAAACCCTCTTGAAACCTGACCTGACTGTTATGGGAGACGATTATTATAGTTCTTCACTTGCAAATTTTCCATTTGTGTTAAGTTGCTTCCCACAGCCTCTCACTGTCACATTCATTCAAAAGCCAGAATGGCATTGATAGAGTTCAGTGTTTTCGCTTATTCACCCCAGTTCTGCCTGGAGACTGGATGTACAGGATGTAACAGAAATCTTCAACCAAAATTCTGCCTTCCCAGTTGTCCTTTTTTACTTGAGAGTGCTACTTAGACTTTCCTTGTTCTCCTTTTGTCCAAAGTCAAATATATTCTGAAAACAAAACAAAACACTTGGAATGGCAATTTGGGAACTTCCCCCTTGCAGAGCTCTTCTTCCTTCAGATGCTCTTAAAAAAAAAAAAAACCAAAAAAACAACAAACAACCAAAAAAACCACGCTCTCATCAGTTGTCCAGAGGAGGGCCATGAAGATACTCTGAGGGCTGGTGCACCTCTCCTATGGGGACAGGCTGGGATTGTTCAGCCAGGAGAAGAGAAGGCTTCAAGGAGACATTAGAGCATCTTCCAGTGCCTAAACAGGCCAACAAGAAAGCTGGAGAGGTGGGGTTTACAGGGCAGGTAGTGATAGGACAATGAGGAATGGCTTTAAACTGACTGATCAGATAGTAGGTAGAAGTTACAAGTTGTGGGAGTGTGAGGCACAGGCACAGAGAAGCTGTGGCTGCCCCATCCCTGACAGTGCTCAAGGCCAGGTTGAATGGGGCTTTGAGCAGCCTGGTCTAGTGGGAGGTGTCCCTGCCTGTGGCAGGGGTTTGGAACTAGGTGATCTTTAAGGTTTCTTCCAACCCAAAGCATTCTGTGATTTTATGATCTTGAAAGCAATGCAGAATAAGGCTATATAATTTTTACAAATTAGTTTGATTTGTTTGCAGCTGGTTATCATCCTGCACTACAATATCAATATTACATTACAGAGCATTGTGCTATTTTCTAGGTGTTATCATTGGTGGTCTTTTAGTTAAGAATTAACAGTACTATTACAGCAGCTACAAGGAAATGCACTCCCACTCATTGCTGTGATAAGGTGCCTCACATCCTCCTCCTCAAAATGGCTTCCTTAGTGTTCCACTTCTCCAATGGAGATGTATTTGCAGCAATGATAACAATTTTCAAAAAGAAACTAATAAAATGTGCTTTTTTTTGTTTTTAAGGCTTGTGATTTCCTCCCAACAAAGCTGTCACTGAAACTAGTAGCCACCTTTAGTAGAAATAGAGATGTGTGACAAGTTTGTAGCAAAATGCATAGCAAAACCAGAAATATTTTTCATCAGCTGTATGAAGAGCAAGGGGGGGAACCCCAATGTATTTTTCTCTCCCTTTCTGCCTGACAGAATATTTCAAATTTTAAGATATAGGAATATAACTTCTGGATAATGTTTCTGTTAAAGTATAAGGGAATTTTTTCAATAGAGGAAACACATTCTTTATGTTAATCAGACGTTGGTGCCATTGGTTAGCATTATTAATCAATAGGGATGAGATATTTTGGCTTATAATAACAAAAAGGTGGGACAAAAATTACTGTTCATTTTACAGCAATTTGTAGGTCAGAAATTTCGGGAAGAAAAAGGGTTTGTCCCATAATAGACATGTTGAATTTAAAAATAACACACAAACCTCCCAGCAGATCAGTCTAGAAAGATATAAAGGTTTAGCTAGAACAAATATTCAGTAATTAAGTGGCTTATCCAGATCAACTTGAAATATGTTAATAAAAGAAAGGAAAAAAGTTGTATGGGTTTAGATCTCATATGCAAGAGATTTGATCAGCAGTAAATGTACTGAAAATAAAGGCTATTTTTTCCTTATTCCTGGTCTTACTTAAAAAATGGACTCTATCCCAGTTGGGTAAATTGTTTCCCTAATAATCAGAAGGAATTGATGTTGTATCCTTGGTATTGTTTTCTGACATTGAGGGTTGTAGGTGATTTCTTCTGGGAAAATCTTCACAACATATGTACTTGGGATTTGGGATTTTTTTTGTTTGTGTGTGCATTTTTTTTCTTTTTTCCTTTTTTCTAGTTCCATTAATTTATGAAAAAATAATTTTATTTTGGAACTAAATTGTGAGCAGTGTCCTTCAGAGATGTAGGTGTTTTAGTTAGTGACCTGGTCAAGTGCACTGTGCACATTGAACAAGGTAAAACAGCAAGATGCATGGTGTTTAAGAGCCTCTTCCCCGTACAGAAAAGCGTGACACCCAGTTGGTGTAAGTCTCATTATTTAGGGTTGGCAGATACTTTTATACTCCGCTTCCACTTGCAACTACCTGCATTTCAAATCTGGTGGGGAAAGCTAGACTAAAACTGTTGTAGCATTCACAGCATCTTCCACTTCTGGCAGAGGATTTTAATTCATTATACTTTCTTCATTTAGTGTCCATGATGCTCTCTCCTCCTTTTGCCAAACTATGTGGAAGGCAAACACCTAGCTGAAATCTCCATTTACAACTGTATGACACAGATCTCTACATCTTGTGCCCACAAGAAATGCATACACAGGTAGAGATGGAAGTCCTGTGCTCTCATGAGAGGGAATAAAGCTGCTTATGACAGAGTGCCTCAACAAAGTAGGGCACCAAGTGGTTTTGGTGTTTCTTTAGTGTTTCTTTGTTGTTTAAATCACTATCTAGCAGTGTTTACTTTTCTCTAGTTTATAATGGAATACATAATTTCACTTTAGGTCAAGGAAAAAGACAATAACTGTTTGGTACCTAGTAATAGTGCTTCTTCAAGGCAAGCGCTCTGAATAATGAACCATTATTTGGCTATTGAATTCAGTATCTGAAGGGGGCCTATAGGGATGCTGGGGAGGGACTGTAGTGACAGGACAAGG